TCGTGCGAGTGTTATTGGGTTGCGCGAGATTTCTGTTGTGCTATTGTTACTGTTGATATTTGCACATGCGGCGTGATAAGGCGGGATATATATGGGTTGCGCATGTGGCGAGACAAGGTGTGAATATTATATTGCACGTGTGGCGAGACAAGACGGGCATTACTTTATTATTGCACACGTGGCGAGACAATATGGGCTATGTCGAGGATTGATTTGTGATGACTTGTGATGGCTTGGGGGCATTCGTGTTGTTGATATTTGTGTAGTGATGAACTTACTTGTGTGAGTTCTATTTTTTGTGGAAATTGTGGAAAAACATTCTACGTACTATCCGTTTCTTTTTTTATATTTACTAGCTGGCATGAACTATGTTATAACACTTGCACAAGCATACACATAGTTAAGCACTCCTATCGGTAAAGAGGATGGATCTTTATATTGTTGAGTATTGATGCACACCTTTGTTACTTGCCTTCTATGTGAGAATGACTCTCTTGGTATGTGAGTCGCTAGTGTGGATATAAATGTATAATGAGGGCACACGATGCCAGGTGGTTAGAGTTCCGGAATTTGGACCTGTGAATTGTGAATACATTGAGGTTCGGTACCTCGTGATGGTTATCAGCTAAAACCTGGTGTAAAAGCAAACGTTTTTGTTAAGTTATTATTTGAGTGTCCTTTATCTGTGATCACCAGATTTAAATTATGTTCCGCTCATCCTACTCTGTTATTATCATGATATTTCACTGTTAGTTGCTGCTTTTCTTTTCTTACTGCAATTACCATATCATTTTGTCATTATGCATATTCTTTATATAGATATTATACCCTGTTGTTCTGTACCTATACTTGTCAGGTTATTTAGTTTAGTAGGTGTCTTGACTGTTCCTCGTCACTACTCCTCTGAGATTAGTTTTGATACTTACTGGTTACGGTTGTGGTGTACTCATACTATGCTTCTGCAATTTTTATGCAGATCCAGGTATTTGATCGTTAGTAGCTGTGCGGATCGTTGCTACGGAAAATCAAGGTAAACTTGCTGCTGCGTTCGCAGGCTTCAGAGTCACATTCTTATTTTGTATTTACACTGTTCACTCTTATTTCGAGACAGTTGTATTTTAAAGGTTTTCTAACAAACTCTATAGAGCTTATGACTTGTACTACCAATTTTGGGGTTGTAAATTTTAAAGAGATTTCTATTTCAAATTGTAAGATGTTATTTAAACACTGTTGTTGTTTCATTTAATGTTAGGCTTACCTAGTCCCTAAGACTAGGTACCATAACGATACCCAACGGAGGAAAATTTGGGTCGTGACATCCTAGGAGCCAAGAATGGCTTTCATGCATAGACATCATTTCTCATAATTATCTTTTGTGAGACATGTATTGAAAAGACATCGGACCATTACTCGACATGGCTCTGATACCACGTTGTTGGGAAAAAATAATATCCCACCTAAGAATAATATCCATGATAAATATCAATAACACAAGAGAGTAACAAAGACACTAAATTTTTTTAACGGGGTAAAATACAATATCCGAGCGGAGCAATATTATCACTATAATATTACTACTTAGTAGTGCCAAGAGACTACTACAACTTCGAAAGAAATAATACTCTTTATTTGAAACACCTTACTACAATATTACTCATACTCACTATTTATCTCACGGACTACAATCTGTGAATTACTCTCTCTAACTTTAGTTACTTCTTTCTCATTTTGGTATGTCCAAACAAGAAAAATTGAGCTCCTATTTATAAGAGGAATTGCCAAAATTTGGACCAATCAGAAGGCTCAATTTTCCATCGCCAAATTTTGTTTTGGTTTCACTAACTTGTTGCAACTTAAAACTTTTTTGTTTCTGCCATTATTGAACAAGTTGTCATTGCAACTTGTTTCTTTCTTATTTTAAATATTGCAACAGGAACCCCACAGAAAAGTCGGGACTTTATTAAATGCATGGAGGAGTGAGGAATGGTAGATGATGGTTATAGCGGGCCTAGATTCACATGGTGTAATGCTAGAGACAAATGGAACAGAATATGAAAGAGGTTATATAGAGTATTTCTGAACTATGAGTGGACATCAAAGACTTCAAGGTTTAGTGTAGAACACATGGCTAGCACAGGTTCAGATCATACACGAATGCTAGTAGGATGTTCTACAACTAAAAATGAGGATATCAAGTATTTCAAAATCTACCCTTCAAAGTTGGCAACAAAAATATCTTTGCCATTACTCTTTTATATTATAAGTATTTAATTTTTTTCCCTCCAATTCACGGATATCCATTAATTTTTACTATTGCCAATGTAAACTAAGAGCCCGTTAGTTGTTGCTTTCCTTTTTTTACTACAATTACCGTATAGTTTTGTCATTATGCATAGGTTTTATATAGATATTGTATTCTGTTGTTATGTACCTATACTTGTGAGGTTATTTAGTTTAGTATGTGTCTTGAATGTTCCTCGTCACTACTCCTCCGATATTAGTCTTGATACTTACTAATTACGGCTGTGGTGTACTCATACTACGGTTTTGCAATTTTTGTGCAGATCCAGGTATTTGATCGTTAGTAGCTGCGTGGATCGTTGTTGTGGAGAATCAAGGAAAACCTGCTGCCACGTTCACAAGCTTCAGAGTCACCTTCTTATTTTGTATTTACACTATTCACTTTTATTTCGAGACATTTGTGTTTTAAAGGTTTTCTAGCAAACTCTTTAGAGCTTATGACTTGTACTACCGGTTTTGGGGTTGTAAATTTTAAAGAGATTTCTATTTCAAATTATTAGATATTATTTAAACATTTTTGTTGTTTCATTTAATGTTAGGCTTACCTAGTCCCTAAGACTAGGTGTCATCATGATATCCAACGGAGGAAAATTTGGATCGTGACATCCTGGGAGCTAAGAATGGATTTCATGTGTAGACATCATTTCTCATAATTATCTTTTGTGAGACGGGTATTAAAAAGACATCGGACCATTACTCTCCATGACTCTGATACCATGTTGTTGGAAAAAATAATATCCCACCCAAGAATTATCAATAATAAATAACAATAACACAAGAGAGTAACAAAAATACTGATTTTTTTTAACGGGGTAAAATATAATATCCGAGTGGAGCAATATTACCACTATAATATTACAACTTAGTAATTCCAAGAGACTACTACAACTTCGAAAGAAATAATACTCTTTATTTTAAATACCTTACTACAATATTACTCACACTCACTATTTATCTCACACACTACAATCTGTGAATTACTCTCTCTAACTTCAGTTGTTTCTTTCTCGTTTTGGTGTGTCCAAACAAGAAGAATTGAGCTCCTATTTATAAGAGGAATTGCCAAAATTTGAACCAATCAGAAGGCTCAATTTTATTGTAATTTGCTAAGCAAAATGTCACCGCCCAAACTTTGTTTTGGTTTCACTAACTTGTTGCAACTTGCAACTTAATTTTTTTTTGTTTCTGCCATTATTGAACAAGTTGTCATTGCAACTTGTTTCTTTCTTATTTTAATTATTGCAACAGGGACCCCACAGAAAAGCTGGGACTTCATTAAATGCATGGAGGAGTGAAGAATGGTAGATGCTGGTTATATCGGGCCTAGATTCACATAGTATAATACTAGAGACAAATGAAATAGAATATGAAAGAGGTTAGATGGAGTATTTCTGAACCATGAGTGGATATCAAAGACTTCAAGGTTCAGTGTAGAACACATGGCTAGCACAGGTTCAGATCATACACGAATGCTAGTTAGATGTTCTACAACTGAAAATGAAGATATCAAGTATTTCAAAATCTACAAAATATACCCTTCAAAGTTGGCAACAAAAATATCTTTGCCATTACTCTTTTATATTATAAGTATTTAATTTTTTTCCCTCCAATTCACGAATATCCATTAATTTTTACTATTGCCGATGTAAATTAAGAGCCCATTTGGACATAAATTTTTTTCTTTTTTTTTTTCAAAAAAGTTTCACTTGAAGATGCATTTTGGAATCAACGCTTGTTCATAAAATTTTCAATTTTCACTTGCAGATGCATTTTGAAAATTTTCGAAAATTTGAAAAACTCCAAAAAACTGTTTTTCAAAATTTTCACTCAAATCACTCACAAAACTTCAAAAGCAACCCAAAATTATATTATTTTCAAACACAACTCTAAAATTTCAAATATCATTTTCACTTGAAATTTTTTTTCACCATATTTTGAAATTTTACAATTCTCATGTCCAAATGCCCACTAGCATATGAATGCTACTTGTATTCTTAAGTCATGGTATCAAACACGTGAAAATTAAAAAACAAAAAAGAAATATAAGAGCCACTCAATTAATAGGTGTGAATTTTTCCGGTGACTCATTCTATTCTTGGCCAATATGTAATGTTAGTGGAGGAACTTATTTATTTGACTACTCGTGTCTCAGATTATTAGTCGTATTTTTTTTACACATCCCTTAAAATAATATTGAACATAATTTTTTTTTTGACTATTTCACATTTATTTATGTCTTAAGATATACTCCCTTGGTCCATTTTAATTGATTTTTGGCTTTTCTTTGTGGTCTATAATATTTGATTTTTTCAGACAGCAAGAAGAAATTAACTTTTTTTCTTTCAAGTTGCCTTTGGATTAAAGAGCCTTGAAGTATTTGTTATAGTTTTAACGAATAAATTAAGGTTAATATGATCAATTTTGTTATTAATTAATGCTAAAAGGTGAATTCCTTAATGCTCATGAAAATGATCAAACAATCAATTAAAGTGGATCGGAGACAGTAAACTCTTTTTATTTACTTATAATTGAGGTATTTGTAATCATTAAAAGTAATTAATATTAAAGGTAAAATAAGAAAAAATAAATTAATTTAGTTTTTAACTTCTAAAATGACAAATATTTTGGTACAATTAATTTTGGAAACCGCTGCAGCAAAATTAAATGGAGAAATTACGGTGGCATTCTTATTACCTAACGAAGGAGCGAGCGAATTTACTCTTTCAACTTTCAATGACTACAACAGTGAAGAAAAGCGGCATTTCCAGTCTCGGAGCAATGGCGAAAAAGCGACGTTTGGAAACGACGATCTTCATGCTCCTCTTAGCTCTCTTAGCTTTCGGATCTTTCGCACCTGCCTTTGCTCCTCTTCCTTCTTTCTCTTCTTCTCATTCCGACCTCTCAACACTTAACTCTGTGGTACGAGTTTGAAATTTTATGTTTTTAGTACCTAATTCAAGCTTTTTAAGAAAAAGTTGCACTTAATTCGAGTATTCAGTGAAACGGCAGGTTAAGGATCAGCACAAAAATAGTCTCATTATGATGAATTTCATAGAGTAGAATAAAATACAAGCTTTATACGGATTAGTTTGTGATTAGAATTTAGAGGTGTAGCTGATTGATCGACTGCACTTAATTCGTTCATATGTTTTCATTCAGAAGTTGTTTGATTCTTAAATTGGCAGGGAAATGAGAGAAAATTTGAGATTGCGGATGACATGTTCTGGAAAGATGGAAAGCCTTTTCAGATTATAGGCGGCGACGTCCATTATTTTCGGGTTCTTCCAGAGGTACTTTATGGGTTTCCTATGGATAGCTAAATACTTCTGATCATAGTATTAGTATATAATCTTGTTCAAACACACACAGTGAGGGTGATCCTTTAAAGTGAAGCAAACTTGTTTGATAGTTAACTTCATATGCTCTTTTGATGAACTCCGTGTTAGGAAAATGATGATTAAAAGGTAAAACTAATGCTGAAGTAATCAGTCTAGCATAAAAACTTACATTTGGTGCAGATTCTGCATATATCATATCGATGTCACCCATACAGAATTTCTCCTACGTGAAATTTAAAAGGAGTTTTGTTTTTTCATTCAACTGTTCTTTGAAATCCGTTATAGTGTTGTACAAGTTACCTGTAAAATCATCAGAAATGAATTTTTGAGTTGTTTTCGTTGTTGGTGTCAAACATGTCAAAATAAGTTAGTGATAGTTCACTTGCGCACATTTAGTTGAAAGTCAAAACCTTCATTTTTTAAGTCCTTCATGGAGTGGTGAAGGTATACATTTCTTTTTTGTTTTTGATTTGTTTCTTTCTCTGTAAACGGAGTTATTTTCTTCTTATGTTGTTCGGTAATACCAATTTGAATTGAGGTATTGATATATAAATACTCGCTTTAGTATTGGGAAGATAGACTGCTGAGAGCAAAGGCATTGGGCTTGAATACCATTCAAACATATGTCCCATGGAATTTGCATGAACCAAGAGAAGGCCAACTGGTTTTTGAAGGAATAGCAGATATTTTTTCTTTTCTTAATCTTTGTCAGAAATTGGATCTCCTGGTGATGCTTCGAGTTGGGCCTTATATTTGTGCAGGTCAGACATGAGCTTTCTCTTGTACAACTTCGCAGATTTTTCGTCATTCGTGAAGTATAATTTTCCTCAAGTTCAATCCTCCTTCAATTGATCTAATAAAATCTCAATTGTGACTAATTGAATTGTTCGTGTGAAATGTTGGAGGAAGGAACAAGATCCATGAAGTTCATCGGGAAAAAATGAACAACTCCTTTGACTAAGAGTGAATATATAAGTAAATCTAATAAATTCATAGAATGTCTCATTATTTTTAGTACTTACTTCCAAATTTGCTTATGCATCGAGGAAGTGTAAAATCTTCTCTATTTACTGCTGCAGCAGGTCTAGGGAGTTCTATCTACCATTTTATATCTAATTGCGCAGGAAAAACGTAAAAATTATGGTGCAGCAAGTCAACATATATTGCATAGCTATGTGTGGCTCAAAGTTTGTGAGTATTCTGACCAAGTAGCAATATTGTTTAGTACGTCTATCTTTACAGCTTGAAAAATACCAAAACCTGGATGGACAAGAAAACGAAAGGATGAACTCTAGATCACCCGGAAAGGATTCTCTAATCCATCAAAGGGCCTCCAATTTCTTCAATTCATATAGACCTTAAAAGGCATTAAGTTTAGACTCCTTTTAGAAGACTAATGAGTAGGATTATCTGTTGTTACATTCCATATTGTAAATACGGGGGACTTCACATTTTTGTGCAGTCTATATTTTAATATACAAAAATATGTTACAACAACAACAACAACAAAAAAAAAAAAAAAAAAAAAAAAAAACCCAGTTTGATCTCATAAATGGGATCTGGGGAGGGTAGTGTGTACGCAGACCTTACCCCTACCTCATAGAGATAGAGAGGTTGTTTCCAATAGATCCTCGGCTCAAGGAACAATGAATATATAAATATGTTACCTTCTAAAAAAAAGGGCACTAAGATAGTCCTCCTTTGTATCGGTGCACATGAAAAACCATATCCTACCTGCTTCACAAGGGCCAGAACAACAACATTAGTAAATGAAACCTCCTTTTATTGTAGAGACAAGAACGGCTAATCTGAGCATCATTGAGGCTGAATTTCCATATGCGTCAATCCAAAAGGAAATATGAGTTCCATTACCATCTTGATGCTGATTAACTTTGAAAAGATGAATATTCAAGATCGATTCTGGAGTTTTGTTCTGTAAAGAACCATTTTGTAGCCTCCACTACTTCCAATCTTCCTCAAATTCCATAGGACCTGTTGCATCAATCTGATTTACCGGAGGGTCACAAGCAGCCAACACTTTCTGAAACTATAGCCATCCACTATATCATCTAGTGTTCAAAGGTAAGTATATTGGTTAAAGGTGTCCATCAGTTTCTAGACGAATGTTTTCAGGAAATGCTCTTTCAAGATCTGTTCATACTGAAACCCTTTCAATGCTAGGGCAACCATGGTTTACTCCAGCATTACAAAAAGTGCTAGGAATATAAGTAACTACACTATTTTGCCTTGCTACACTATGTCTAGTAGTATTACTAATATTATGGAGGGGTTGATGATGGAAGCTTATGTTGGAGGCAGTGCTTGTGGAACGCACGTCCAACATAGTACAAAAAGTGTGCGTTGATCCATACATAGTGGTATTTGTTGTGCTACCCATTCTAGGTTTCCTATGTCCTTTCTTATCTTCCATAAGGTGCTGGATGATGAATTGAGGATGATTTGCCAAAAAGGTGATGTTGCTGCCCGATAAGTCCATTCCAAAATGTGCGAGTTGGTCTGCTACCATATTTTTCTCCCTATAGGTGTGACTTACTAGTGGATTACTCAATTGCTGAATCAATAGTCTGCAATCATTTAACAAAGGTGAGTACTTTATGGCAGGGGATTGCAACATAGTTATTACCTCTTGCGACCATGTGAATCTCCAGTGGAGTTAGGTTGTGCATGAACGCTATTTGCAAACCACGTAGTAATGCCATTAGTTCGATATCTATAACATTGGACAGTTGGTGATGTCCAGCATAGCCCATACCCAGTTACCTTCGTGATTTCTGAATACTCCTCCAAAGCCCGCTTGTGATTTGTTGGAACTGACTGCCTCATCCATATTTAGTCTAATGATTCCTAATGGTGGTGGGTTCCATTTGACATACACAGGCACTTTAATACGTTTATGGGTGGAGAAGTTAGTTAAAAAAAGATGTTCAGTAGTTAATTGCATAATTGTGTTGATAGAAGGCTTAAGTTGCACATTTTCAAAACAATTTTTGTTTCGAATATTCCATAGGTGCCATAACGTGAAAGGAATCACCTGTTTTAAAGAGAGGGCATTTGTATGAAATGTGCCATTATGAAGAATGAGTTGTTTGAGCCACACATGATTTGGAATGCGATAAGTGATTAAAGAATGTGTAAGGTGTTCTAGATTGAGGTCTTTCCAACAGTGATTTGCATGTACACAATGTAGTAGTATGTGGCTGATAGTCTCTTCTCCGGCTTGGCAGATTGTGCACACGTTAGATGAAGTAATTCCCAACTTATGTAGGTATGCCTTGGTAGGCAATCGATTGTGGCTAATTAACCATAAGAAGTGCTTAATTTTTTATAGCAATTTTATCGCCAAATCCAGTCGTGATTATTAACATTTTGTGTAGACTTAGTGATAGCTTTATAGTATGAGCTAACAGAGAAGCTGCCCGTGGTAGTTAGACCCCAGACGATATGATCAGGGTTTGTTCCATACGTAGGAATGTAAGTACTATTAATTTTGTGAGTTATATGTTGAGGTAATTCGAATAATAGATTGATTGCTGGGCAGCTATTGAGTTGGAGCACATTAGCTACAAATAGATTAACTTCGTTATGATTTAAAGGCCCATGGATAAGGCTTCTAATATTGGTGTTTGGAGCAATCCAATTGTCAGTCCAAAAGCGTACATGGGTACCTCTCGTGACATGCCATTGTAATCCAATTTGACAAATCTTCCATCCATTTATCAGTTGTTTCCATAATAGTTCATTTAATAGGGAGCTTGGGGGGGGGGGGGGGTTAATGTATTTAGAGATTAGAAAGGATGCCCAAGGCGTGTGAGGTTGATGAAAAAGCCTCCAAGTCGTACTGCTAATATGGCATCATTTTTATCTCTTAGTCGTTGAATACCCAGTCCACCTTGATCCTTTGGAGTAGTTATTGTTTTCCAGTTAATTAGGTGTAGCCTTTTTTTCTGGGAGGTAGAACCCCAAAGAAGTTCTTTTGATAGCTTTCTAGTTTGGTAATTACATGAGTTAGGATAGGCATAATTTGCATTATATGATCGGGAATGATATTTAGAGTTGTTTTGATTAAAGTTGTACGTCCGGCCATTGTGAGGTGGTTCGTTTTCCAGCCTGCTAACCTATTTTTGAAATTGTCAATTAAGAATTAAAAATTTCTTTTGTTGGGATTTGAAGTGAAAGTAGGAAAACCCAGATATGTGCCAAATGATTTCCCTTCCACCATATTGAAGGAGGAGAGGATGAAATTCTTGTCATTTGCTGAACAATATTTAGAGAAGTAAACCCTTGATTTTTCAAAAATAACTTTTTGACCAAAGTGCTGAGTGAATTGGTCCAGTAAATCAATAATTTTATGACAATTGGACGTTGTTATTTTGGATGTCAATATATTGTCATCTGCAAAGAATAAATGAGATACTTGAGGTGCTTTAGCATTCAAGGTAATAGGTTTCTATTGATTGTAATCCACTGCATTGTTTATCCTCCGAGACAACATTTCTGTGAGAATGCACGGGAGAAAAATCTTATTATTGATTAAAGTGTTGTACAACCCTATTTATATACAGTAATTACATAATAATAGGTATCTACTTCCCGATGTGGGACACTAAACATGACTAACTACTTAACATTCCCCCTCAAGCCGGTGTATATAAATCATATGTACCGAGCTTGTTACAGATGTAACTAATACGAGAACCAGTAAGAGTCTTAGTAAAAATATCTGCTAGCTGATCATTCGACTTTATAAACTTTGTAACCATATTTTCTGAGAGTATCTTTTCTCTGACAAAGTGACAGGCGATCTCAATGTGTTTAGTCCTCTCATGGGACACCGGATTTGATGCAATATGAAGAGCAGCGTGATTATCACACAACAGTTCCATCTTGCTGATTTCTCCGAACTTCAACTCCTTGAGCAACTGCTTGATCCATACTAGCTCACACGTTGCCATAACCATGACTCGATATTTGGCTTCGGCACTAGATCGAGCAACTACATTCTATTTCTTGCTCTTCCAAGAGACCAAATTACCTCATACTAGAACATCCAGACGTAGAATGTATATCAGAAGGTGATCCTGCCCAATCAGCATGTGTATCCAACAATCTACTCGTGGCCTTGATCCTCGAATAGTAACCCTTTGCCTAGAGCTGACTTTATATATCGAAGAATGCGAATAACTGCATCCCAGTGACTATCATAGGGAGAATCCATAAACTGACTTACAACACTCACCGGAAAAGAAATGTCAGGTCTAGTCACTATGAAGTAATTCAATTTGCCAACCAACCTCCTATATCTCGTAGGATCTCTAAGAGGCTCCCCTGTCCAGGCAGAAGCTTAGCATTCGGATCCATAGGAGTGTCAACAGGTCTACAACCCATTATTCCAGTCTCCTTAAGAATGTGTAAGGCATACTTCAGCTGTGAAATAACAATACCTGAGCTAGACTGAGCGACCTCAATACTTAGAAAATACTTTAATCTGCCCAGATCCTTAGTGTGGAAGTGCTGAAAGAGATGCTGCTTCAGATTAGTAATACCATCCTGATCATTGCCAGTAATAACAATATCATCAACATAAACCACCAGATAAATAGACAGATTAGGAGCAGAATGCAGATAAAACACAGAGTGATCATCTTCACTACAAGTCATGCCGAACTCCTGAATAAATGTGCTGAACTTACCAAACCAAGCTCGAGGGAATTGTTTCAAACCATATAGTGACTTGCGTAAT